GGGAAAGAGACAGGGGCAGGAGGAGAGGGCTTTAGGTGGGCCGCATGGGGTGTGTGGCAGAGTGAGCCCCTCCTTTGTGGCCCCAACTGCTGATGCTCTGGCCTGGGCTGCACTGGGTCCCCCTCTGTCCCTTCCTCCTCCTCCTGCTTTGCCTTCACTTACCTTGTCCTCTGCCTCTTATTCCTACTGGAAAGGGGGGCAGCCGACGGGGAGTTATGGGAGCAGGAGGGGGACTGCAGGGGCTTGGCGAGTCCTGCACTCTGAGCAAGAGGGTTTGTTTCTCTGACAGGTCCCCAAGGTCCCAAGGGCACAGTTGGCATGGCAGCTGGGGTAGGGGAAAGCAGAACTCCCTTTTTGCTGGTGGGGCAAGTAGGGCAACTCTGCCTGGCTGAGCCTTCCACCCAGGGCCCCCAGCTCGGTGGGCCTCTCCTGCCATTCTGCCTTTGTGCCAGTCTGTCCTTCTGCCTGAATCGCCATCTCTTCCCAGCCTCCTCTGGGGACTGCCCACTTGTCCTGCCCAGGGGTTACCTCTGCAGAGTGTGGGGTAGGGGAGAGGGCATGGGGACAAAGGGATGTCCAAACTGGGCTGTCAGATAGAGGGTGCAGTAGGAGGTGTGTTTCACCAGGAGAGGAGGGGAGGGTCCCTGGTGAAGGAACAGTCTGAAGGGAGGGAAAGGGAGGAGAGAGAGGGGGGCTGAGCCTGGAGGGGTAAGGCGGTAGTGGATAGTTTATGGCTTTGAGCAGCTTCCCCCTGCTCCCGTGGTAATGGGGAACCACTGAAGGCTGGTGAGCATGGCAGCAGTGATGCTTAAGTGCCCTTCAGAAGCTTCTCTCTGGCTGCATCTGAAGGAGCAGAAAACACTCATATGAGCTTGAGCAGAGGTCAGGGTCCTGGGGGACAGTGGGCTGCACCTTTCCGGGGAGCTGTGGTGGGACAAGAATGCAGAGCCTAACGACAGGACCAGCTCTGTCCCCGGTGCCCAGGGCAGGGTGAGCAAGGGGACACTCAGGGGCCTGTGGAAGTTGGTTGCAAGTAAGTGGACACCAGGAAGAGGCCACTTGTCTGTGTTTGGTGACCCTACCTTAGAGTCCACAGGGAAAGGGGCACTGTAGGAAATCACAGTCCACTCAGGGCACCAGCCTCCCGGCCCTTGCAGCTGGGGACACCCTGCATGGGCGCTTGTGATGCTGGCAATGGTGGAAAGGCAGTGGGTTGGGTGTCTGTGAGGGCCCAGGCAAGGAGAGGCCCCACCCTGGCTGGAGCTTCCTGAGCTCTGTTTTGGGGGCGTGCTGTTGGGGGAAGGTTATGCCCACCAGGACCTGGCAAGGGGTATCAAGGTCTTTTGCACCAGCTGGCAGAACAGCCTCCCACTCCTCCCACAGCAGCCTTTCCCACACCGGAGAGCAGCCCGGGGCTGGAGAAGAGCCATAAAATTGGGGCCTGGGCCTTGAGACGGGGGTGGCGTGGGGGGTGGGCGCAGCCAGGCGGGGCTTGGAGTTTTCCTCCCACCGCCCACCACGCTGGGCTCTCTCCAGGCCAGCACCTCAGTGATGTCTTTGCCCAGGTGAACCCCCAGCAGAAGGTGCCTGCGTTGAAGGGCGGGGACTTCATTTTGACCGAGAGGTAACTGGGGAGCCGGGGCTGCTACCAGACCTCGCTAGAACCATCTCGTCCTAGCTCTCTATTTCATAGACAGGAAACTGAAGTCCTCCGAGGTGAAGGGCCTTTTGCCCAACATCCTACAGAGAGTCAGGGCTTGACCCCCGGCTCCTGCCTGTCCACGGTTTCAGTTCACAGGGATGGTTGGGAAAGAACGCATCTGTTTTACATCTGTACCAATCCTGTGGTTGTTGGTGGTGGGTCCCCGGGCAGGGCTGTGGGGCAGGGCGGCTTCATCCCCTCCAAGGGTTGCCCGCTGGCCAAACTTGTGTTTTGATGCCCCAGTGGTTCCATCTCTGGGCTGCCCCTTCCCTGGGTGGGCCATGCCCGTGGGAAGACCACCAGACACGTGTATGTTTTGCATCACAACAGTCCCAAGAAGTAGAAATCTCTTTAGGGAGGGTGAAATTTTTTTCCGGTTCCGCCCCCTTCGTCACCTCCCACAACAAGGAGAACCTGGAACTTTTGAACTCATCTCTGGAATCTTGAGGTGGATGCACCCCCAAAGAATTCCTCCCACCTTCTGCCAGCGCCATCTTCTTTCCTGCTGCCCTTACTGTCCTGAGTCCTGTGCTGCCCACTGTTGACCTCCCAAGCATACCTGCCAGGGGCAGCATGCAATCTCTGCATTTCTCTGTCTCTTCTCCCCTATTTTGGGAGGTGCATGGCTCCCAGGGACCTGCAGCCCTCCTCGGAGCTTCCTTGAACAATTAGTTGGGAGCAAAAAGAGCAAAAAGACAAGTGAGCTGTTCAGCTGCATGTGGGTGCAGGGTTCCCAGTAGGGAACCTAGGCCAGTGGCAGATACAGAGGTTTTCTGCCCCTTTGGCTGGGGTGCCCAGCCCCTGGGGTATCCTGAGTTCCCGAAGGCCTTCCTATGGCCCCAAATTCCCACATTCAGTGCCCTTCCGGGTCCACCCCCGCCCCAACACCAAGGCAGTCCTCCTAACCCAGGGCAGGAGGGGAGCTGCGGGAGCGTTATCTGTCCTGCTGGTTCATGATCCTGCAGCACTGCCCCCCACCCCGCCCCGCCCAGTGTTTCCAGCAGGTGATTTAGGGACAACAGGAAAGCCTTTTTGAACCACCAGGCCATCTGGGAGGGGCTGAATGTCGGATGACAAGAGTAGATGCAGACTGGAAAGAACTGAGCTTCTTTAAGGTTCAGCTTTGATGCCATCTCCTCCAGGAAGCTCTCTCTGGTTTTCCCATCAGAAGCTGTCTCAGAACACTTGGGAGGACTTGCTGTGGGATTTCGCCTGGTGATAGGATGAGCTTGGGTATTAGCCATAGACAGACTTTCAGTTCTGCCACCAAAGGCTGTGTGCCCTGGGCAACTCCCATTCCTGTTCTGAGCCCAGCTTTCTTGTCTGGAAACCGAGCAAATACCTTGGCACATGGTCAGGAAGGTTAAGGAAGGGACTCTGTATAAAGCCCCTAGCTCCATACTTTCCCCCACCCATCATGTCCTCCTCTCCCGCACAGTATGGCCATTCTGCTCTACCTGGCCCGCAAGTATAAGGTCCCTGACCACTGGTACCCCCAGGACCACACAGGCCTGTGCCCGTGTGGATGAGTACCTGGCCTGGCAGCACACAACCCTGCGGAGAAACTGCCTCCAGGTCCTGTGGCATAAGGTGAGGTGCCCCTCCCCGGGCGGGGGCAGTGAGGACATTGCCCAAAAGGGCTCGGGCAACATCGCATTTATTCTTCCTTTCAGTTTGAATAGCTTGTATTGACCTGACTTTGACTTCCTAATCCTTCCTTCTGTTTGCTGGTAAGCCCATCCAATACATTCTTTATTCGAGATATGTAATTTTCAGTTCTAGAAATTCCATTTGGTTCTTTTTAGAGTTTCCATGTCGCTGCTGAAATTCACCATCCACTCACCCACTTGGTCCATCTTTTCTTCTAAAGTCTTTAACATATTTATAATAGTTACTTAAAAGTCTTTGTCAGCTAATTTCAACCCCTGGGTTCTCTGCAAGTCTGTCTCTACTGGTTGTTTTTTTATCCTTCTTGATTATGGGCCACATTTTCCTCTTTCTCTGTATGTCTTATAATTTATTATTACGTGCTGCACATTATGTATAAGAGGAGAGTAGAGACTGAGTACATAATAAATACCTGAGAAAGGGCTTGCACTTTCCTCTATCAGGCAGTCTTGGTGGGAGCTTCCTCCCTTCCAGCTAGTCAGGAATGGGGCTGGGATGTGGCATTCATTAGTTTCAGTTCATCTCTGGTTTCAGGTATCCGGAGGGTGGAATCAGGTTGCTCGCTTTCCTCCAGCAGGGATTTGGAATCTAAGCACCAACTGCCACCGTGAGATGGCTCTACATCTCAGCCCTGCCCTCAGTTCCCCACGTGGCTGCTTCATCAGAAAACTCCTATGCTGATGGCAGGCTTGCACCTCTGCTTGCCTGGACCCCAGGGATGAATGTGGCTTACCTAGGGAGGGCTCTTGCCCTCTGGAATTTAGTTCATTTAGTCCAGTGCTGCACCAAAGTACAAAGTGAGATATATGCAGTCTTAAATCTTCTAGTAGCCACAATTAAAAAGTAAAAAGAAACAGTTGAAATGACTATATTTTACTTAACCCAGTGTACTCAAAATAGTATAATTTTGGCTAATAAACACATGAAAATATGTTCAGTATCACTAATCATTAGGAAAGTGCAAATTAAAACTATAATGAGATACCAGTTCACCCCCACTGGAATGGCTATTACATATATATACATATATATATGTGTATATATATGTATATATGTATGTGAACAAAATAACAAGTGTTGGTGAGAATAAGAAGAAATTAGAACTCTTGTGCACTGTTGATGGGAATGGTAAGTAGTGCAGCTGCTGTGGAAAACAGTATGATGGCCCCTCAAAAAAATTAAAAATACAATTACCACATGACCCAGCACTTCCACTTCTGGGTATATACCCCAAATAATTGAAAGCAGAGTCTCGAAGAGATGTTCATAGCAGCAATATTCATAATAACCATTATTCACTATAGTTGTGGAAGCAACCCCAGTGTCCATCAACAATGACACTTAAGTGCCCCTTAGTGGTTCTGCCTATGTCTTCCTCTAAGGGTTTTACTGTTTCTGGTCTTAACGTTTAGGTCCTTAATGCTATTTTTTTTTTGTGTGTGTGGTAGGCGGGCCTCTCACTGTTGTGGCCTCTCCCCTTGCGGAGCACAGGCTCCGGACGCGCAGGCTCAGCGGCCGTGGCTCACGGGCCCAGCTGCTCCGCGGCATGTGGGATCTTCCCAGACCAGGGCACGAACCCGTGTCCCCTGCATTGGCAGGTGGACTCTCAACCACTGTGCCACCAGGGAAGCCCAAGGTTATTTTCTTTTCAGTGTTATGGTGGGAGCAGTGGTTTTTTTGTGACTGTCATATCCTCATCAGAAGTGCACTCCTCATTTTTGAAAGTGTATGGCTAATTCTGAGTCATGAGTTTTATTGTGTCTTCTATCATTTTTTTATATGAAAAAGGAAACATTAGAGAACAAAAGTCAAAAGACCTCTTTGTTGCCCTTGTTCCTTCCTGAGGTGCCCCCTGCTCCCCAGGATCTGGTTCAAGTCCTTTCAGTTCACGACTTTCTACATTATTACATTTATGTGTAGCCATAAACATAAAGTTTTGCTTTGAGTGCTTACAATTTTATATAAATGCTCTCATATCATTCTGGAACTTGCATTTTTCCACAGTGCTACGGGTGGGTCTAATTTATTTTTTTCTAACTACTCTATAGCATTTCCTGATAAGAATAAATCAGAATTTATTTATTACCCTCTTATGGTCTTTTATATTTAAAGAGGAATAAAAACACTTTTTAAAACCCTAAGAACTTTGGAACCACCCCATGGGAACAGAAGGGAAATGTAGACAGTCTGTTGCTGGGGTGAGGCAGAGAATACACGGGAGGTGGACTTATGTGGGGTTTGGCAAACTAAGAGCCGTTGTTCCCCCCACCCTCCTGCTTCCCCCACCAAGGAGCAGCTTCTCCCCAGCAGCAGCCTTAGATGCTGCGCTGGTGGCCAGGTAGGAATGCTGGCCCTGTGTGGCCAGCATCTTTATGTTAAAAAGAAGCTGGAAAGTTCAGGATTTTTATATGAAATGTCTCCACTTTTAAATGTCAGCAAGTGATCCATAGTTTTAAAAAGTCTGCAGCCGGGGGCTGCCCTGGTGGCGCAGTGGTTGAGAATCTGCCTGCTAATGCAGGGGACACGGGTTCGAACCCTGGTCTGGGAGGATCCCACGTGCCGCGGAGCAACTGGGCCCGTGAGCCACAACTACTGAGCCTGCGCGTCTGGAGCCTGTGCTCCGCAACAAGAGAGGCCACGATAGTGAGAGGCCCGTGCACCGCGATGAAGAGTGGCCCCCGCTCGCTGCAACTAGGGAAAGCCCTCGCACAGAAACGAAGACCCAACACAGCAAAAATAATAAATAAATTAATTAATAAACTCCTACCCCCAACATCTTCTAAAAAAAAAAAAGTCTGCAGCCAAAAGAATGTCATTAGCCTAGCACTGGCCTCCAGGCCACCGGTGGGTGATCACTGACCCTGTCTACCTGTTGTTTGGGGGAGGAAACAGAAGCCACCAGGGCTTGTGCACAATCTTAGTCCTGTTTACCTTTCCAGAGTCCCAGGCTCCCCAAGCAACTTTACCCAACAAAACACCAGACTGAGCATGAAGCTCCCTCCCCTGCTCCGCATCCACTGTGTCTCCCTGACAGCTCTGACAAGCCTGAGACTGTTGATGGATTCACCCCAAATGCCCTCCTCCCAGAATCCTGAACGCTACCCTTTCCTGGCTCTTCTCCCTAGTCCCTGGCAGCTCCCTGGGTCAGAAGACGTCAGTTCCATGCTTGGCTTAGTCTCTTCTTGGCTGTGTGGTCTCAGGCAACTGTCTGTCTCTCTCTGGGCCTCACTTTTCCATTTACAAGATGAGCCCTGTACTATTATTCCCATATCACAGATGTAGAAATCGAGGCTCAGAGAGTTTGAGTGTTTTGCTCTAGTTCACATAGTTTATAAGCAACAGTTGAGACCTTAAAAGCCCATCCTCCTAATTATACTGTATGAGGTACTGATTTTATAATCTGGGGGAAAGAGGTTAAAAAATAATTGTTCCTAAGCCAGGCCCTCCCCGCAAAGTATGAAACTCATTGTTCAGGTCCCCTCTGAGTCATTCTCAAAGGGGTTTGAGTCCTGTCAGATGCCCCAGGCTCAGATTCTGGGAGCAGGAATAGTTCCGGGAAAAGGAGTCCTTTAGGAATTTCCCTGTAGGAAAAAGAATGCATGGAACCAGGAGGCAGCTCTAAGGGCAGGGAGACTTGCCTTCCTGCCCCTGAGGCTGGGCTGGGCCCTAACCCCCCACTTTGCCTGCCCACCCACCAGGTGATGCTCCCTGTTTACCTGGGTGAGCCGGTCTCTCCCGAGATGCTGACAGCCACGCTGGCAGAGTTGGACGTGACCCTGCAGGTGCTTGAGGACAAGTTCCTCCAGAACGAGGCCTTTCTCGCTGGGTCCCACATCTCTCTGGCTGACCTGATAGCCATCACGGAGCTCATGCATGTGAGTGCTGTGGGCAGTTGTTGGGGGGACTAGGCAGGGGAGGTCCTGGGTGGCTGCTGAAGTCCTGCTCACACTGCCTCACCTGGCCATGGGACTGTGCTTATGTGTAGAAACCTTCTGGGGTTCTGTGGCCTCCAAACCAAGTAGATGCTGCCATACTTGGCCTCACCCATCCATCCCCATCCTGTCCCCTGTCTCCCTACAGCCTGTGGGTGCCGGCTGCCGAGTCTTTGAAGGCCGACCCAAGCTGGCTGCGTGGCACCAGCTCGTGGAGGAAGCAGTGGGGGAGGTCCTCTTCCAGGAGGCCCATGAGGTCATCCTGAAGGCCAAGGACTCCCAGCCTGCAGACCCCACCATTAAGCGGAAGTTGATGCCTAGGGTGCTGTCCATGATCCAGTGAGCTGGGAAGCCTCTGCTCTGCCCTTGGCAGTTCACAAAGCACCTTCCTTTCCATGTCCCATGGGGGGCAGACCCAGAGAGCAGGCGTGACCTGCCTGAGTCCCACTGCCCCTCTGCTCCCTGGGCCAGGTCCCCACTCATTTTCCACAGCTGCCTAAAAGCCACGACGAGAATGGCATACCCAGACCTTGTCTCCTTTAATCACTGCATCTTCTTTTCAGTTTGGGAAATAAACCTGGGCTCAGCCTGAGCCTCTGCTTCTAACTCTGAGGTGTGGTTTATTTGAACTTCCTTCTGTCCTGACCTTGGTCTTGGCCTCTATTCAAAAGACATCCCCCTTTCCTAGGCCCCATGGATCAGCTTCCCCCTGTGGTTTTCAAGATTGATATTAACAAATGCCCCCTTGCCTTCTAGTTCTTAGAGAAAGACAGCAAGGGTATTGGGCGTCCACTGGTGTTGGCTGTAGGCATGCCAGCTATCACTTTGCTGGGCCAGTCACCCAGGACGTGGCCCTTTGGCACCAAGTATTGTAAATCACAAGTCCTGCATCTGTCCTGAGGAATTGGTCGGGAGGGGAAATCCAAACAGCAGCTCTCCTGGTCAGGACTCAGTCATGAGGGGCCTTAAATGCCACACTTAGGAGCTGTAAACCATGAACAGGAACGGAATGCTCAGCTTGCATTTTAGAATAATATTCTGCCTGCTGTTGGGGGTTGGACTGGACGGTGGCCAGGGAGGAAGCAGGAAGATTTGGATATTGCAGTAATCCGGCCAAGGGTGACTTGTGGAGGAGGGCAGTCCGCTGGAGGGGGTGGAGAACATGGCCCCGCCCTGAGGGGATAGGTCTTCTTTAAACTGGGAGCCTGGGGCCCAGGAAGGCCAAGCTATCCTCAAGTTTTGCAGTAACCGATCCTCTTGCCAAGGGGCTTTCTCTGAGTCTTGGGTTTGGGGACAGGGTTTTTTATCCAGGACGCTTGCTTAGAGAATGAGGGCATCGTAGCCACAGACTTCAGGAGCTCCAGGCTTGTAGTTGGAGGGGTTTGGCCCTGCAAAGGAAGTGGGGAGGTTCCAGGCCCCCCTGCAAACCTCTAGATGGGCCCCACAGGGCTTCTGCTTTGCTGGAGCGATTAGCCGGGAGTGTAAGGAAGGTTGGGGAGGGGCAGCTTCCTGAGGTGTGTATCTAGTCTTTGCTGGGTGCAGAGGTCCACACGCCCTCCCCAGCCTCCACCCTGTGCAGTGGGCCCAGGGGAGGCCGTGGCACCTCCTTTCTCCTCCTCTATTTGTGTTCCTGGGGACACTTAAGTCCCTCCTCTTTCAGCCCCGTCCGCGAGTGGGGGAAGGTGGCTTGGCCGAACACTTTCGACTCTAAATTCACTGAGTGTCTGCGCTGGAAGCGCCCTCGACGTCGTCCCCCCAGTATCATCCCCCCGCCCCATTTGACACAGGTAGACATTGAGGTCCGGGTTAGGGGACTGACCTGGCGGCGAGAAACTGTCAGAGTCGGTCTCCCTGTACCCACCCCACCAGGAAAGGGACCCCAGCCCAGTACCCCTCAGAGGGAAGGCGGGAGAGCGAGGCCGCCACTGATTGGTCCAAAGTTCTCCGGCACCATCCAATGAGCGGGGAGGGCGCGGCCGGGCTCGATTAATCAGGCTGCGCGCGGCCGCCGGCTGGGTGGCCGGTGGTCGCTGCCCGCCGTTTCTGCCCCAGTCCTGCACTAATCCTAACCCCTGTCTCCACCATGGGCCTGCAGCTCTACCTGGACTTGCTGTCCCAGCCTTGCCGCGCCGTCTACATCTTCGCCAAGAAGAACGGCATCCCCTTCGAGCTGCGCACCGTGGACCTGCTCAAAGGTGGGCCCGGCAGGCAGGCAGGCCCGGGGTCTGGGCCCCTGTGTGCACAAGGACTCCCGGGGCCCCACGGTCAGGCGGCTTGCGCAGACAGACGGCAAGAGACAGACTCCAGTCGGAAACCGTGGCTTCGCCTATAAGTTGTGTATTTTCAGAGTCTTGACCTTTCCCTAGTGAATACTAACCGTTTTTCAAAATACAGGTTAGGAAGGAGCAGAGCAGGTAGAGAGCAATGGGGGTGTGGGGGTGTGGGGGTGTGGGGCCGCGGGAAGTGGAGTGACAGCTCCAACACCTCCACACCTGGGCTTGGAGAAAACAGTGAACTGCCTCCTCATTCCCAGTGGAAGCAGCCCCCATCTCTTGAGTTTCTGGGTCTGCTGGCAGGAGGAGGTTGGACACCTGCATCTGGTCTCCTCTTTACTCCTACCTATGCCTGCCTACGTCCCCTCCACTTACACAGAATCCGAGGAGGGGGCAGGGCTGTAACTGGACAGTAGGATAAGCTCTGGATTCAGAGCCCTTCCGGCAGGCCCGGAGGGAGACCCCTGCTTGGCTGAGCCTGCCCACCTTCTGCCTCTGGTGCCCCAGCGTGAGCCACCAGCTGCTTTGATGCCAGCTTGCTCTGACTTTTCAATGCTCCTTGGGGTGGGGGCTGGGCACAGAGGCATTTTCTAGAGGGAGGATGGGTAGGGGTGATTCCGTCCATGCAGTAGAAGGGCAAAAAGGCCCACAGGCGGTCCTACGGCCAGGCTGGATCCCGGCTCCACTGAAGCCCTCCGACTCCACATACATTACTTCGTGTACCCTCTGCACTGGCCCGGGACAGGGAGGTATGCAGATGTGATTCAGACCTGGGAACCCCTGTTGGGGAGGAGCCTTGAAGGTTTGGCACAGGAAAGAAAGAGGAGCTGACCTGCAGGAGGTTGAGTGGCTGAGTCCGGCAGGTATTGCTGGTTGAGAGCGAGGTTTGCTGAGGGCCGGGAGCAGGTGTGGCTGGAGCTCTGGGGTGTAGACAGGTCACCCAGTTTGCATAGAGAGGGGTACTGCAGTGGACAAGCCTAGAGCCCAGGGAGGAGGCTAGAGTGTCTGATGCATGGATGGAGTTGGCTGGGGCTGGGGTGCATTACAGCTGCAGTGAATCACCCTCCTCCCAAGTCCAAGCTGAGATGCTACTTGACCCAGGTTCCAAGGCAGGGGGGAGTGGACACAGGAAGGGGGGGACCTCTGGCAGGCTCAGCGTGTGTGATCCGCTGACCAGCAGAGTGGCCTCGTCTTCTCTGATGCCCCACCTGGATGGAGGCCTCAGAAAGTTGGTGCCTGGACATTGGGGTAGGGGGTGGGCAGAGACCTCAGAGGGCTCAGAGTTCTCCCCACCTGCCTCACTGGTCTTTCCCACAGGCCAGCACTACAGTGATGACTTTGCCCAGGTGAACCCCCTGAGGAAGGTGCCAGCCTTGAAGGATGGGGACTTCACCTTGGCTGAGAGGTAACGAGTCCCTTGGCTGCACCAGTCAGCTATCTGTGTGTCCACCGTTGGTGGCTTGGATCGTGGCTTCTGTGCCCTGAGCCCCTTACCAGCCAGAGGCTGGAGAGTGGATTGAAGTCAGCAGAGCTGCCCAGGGCTGGGAGGGGCGCCTGGTCTTCCTCCTGTTGCTGTCCCTGCCCTGGAGATGTTGGAGAATGGTATTGGAGTCGCTCTCATCCTTCGGGACACATGTTGGACACTGCTTCCTCATGGGAGATTTCTCTGAGCATACGCCCACTTTCTGAAATCTCATGACATTTTGTTTTTCACTTGGTGCCCTTAGTTCTGATGATAGGATGGCCCAACATAGAGCTGTGTGATCCTGGCTGTCACTTAACCTCTCTGAGCCTCACACTCCTACTCTGTACCAGAAACAGTGAAATGTTCCACCCCCAGGAGCTGGGGAAAGATGTGTGAGGAGCAGGGACCAGCCTCACCCAGGGCCTGGCCCCTGTGGAATGGTTAAAGAGTGACTGGGGCATGTCCCCTGCACCCACCGTGTCCCCCAGTGTGGCCATCCTGCTGTATCTGACCTGCAAGTATGAGGCCCCCGACCACTGGTACCCCCAGGACCTGCAGGCCCGAGCCCGTGTGGATGAGTACCTGGCGTGGCAGCACACAGCCCTGCGAACAAGCTGCACCCGGACCATGTGGCAGAAGGTGAGCTTCAGAGCAGGGAGCCCTTCCTCAGTGACCAGGGGATGGTGCTTTCTGTCTAAAGCATTCCATTCAGACCTGAGACCTGAGAACACTAAATTCTAGAATGCCAGAGATGCTCCAGGGCAACCAACTTGTTTCCCAGAGGGGAAACCAAGGCACAGAGCCTGGGAATGACTCCCCCAATATGTCTTGATTCCTGAGCTGCTGGAAATTAATCTTGTGCCCTTTTGTACACTCCAGGCTGCCTGGGAATATTGTCTTTTGGGAGAGAAAAGAATCAAACCTTCACTTTGCTACACATGTACTTTCCAGATGGAGAGGTGTTAAGCGAAAAACCTCAAAGTAGGAAGAAATAAGATATTTCACTAAATGTTGATCTGATTTCTGGGTATGCAAGGATTTATAAGCCTAGTAACAGTGGGAGACTTAAAGAAAAGGCTAATCGATTTTACACAAAATCTGTGTAAGAAAAAAAAAGAATGAAAACAAGCAAAAAAAACTGGGAAAGATCTTGGCACAGAAATGTTAGAAAGAACATTAAAAAAATTTTTTTTTAATTTTTAATTTTTATTTTTGGCTGCATTGGGTCTTTGTTGCTGCGCGCGGGCTTTCTCTAGTTGTGGTGAGCGGGGGCTACTCTTCGTTGCGGTGCACGGGCTTCTCATTGCAGTGGCTTCTCTTGTTGCAGAGCACCGGTTCTAGGCGCACGGGATTCAGTAGTTGTGGCATGCAGGCTTCAGTAGTTGCAGAGTGCGGGCTCAGTAGTTGTGGCGAACGGGCTTAGCTGCTCTGCGGCATGTGGGATCTTCCCAGACTAGGGCTTGAACCCATGTCCCCTGCACTGGTGGGTGGATTCTTAACCACTATGCCACCAGAGAAGTCCAGAACCCACATGCCGCAACTACTGAAGCCCGTGCGCCTACAGCCCGTGCTCTGCAACAGGTGAAGCCACCAAAATGAGAAGCCTGCGCACCACAAGGAAGGGTAGCCCCCACTCGCCACAACTAGAGAAAGCCTGGGTGCAGCAACGAAGACCCAACGCAGCAATAAATAAATTAAATAAATAAATATGCTTTAAAAAAAAATAAGACGCTCTTAGAAGCCCATCAAAACACAGGAGAAAAATGCGCAGAAGAAACCAGCAGAGATGTAACTGAAGGACAGAGAGAAAGGGTCAATAAATGGATGAAAACATGTAACTTCAGTAAAAATCAAGCAAATGCACATTAAAAGAGCATGCAGATACCATTTTTACTTATCAAACGTGCAGCGGTTTTTGAAATGTGAACTCTGAGTTATTATTGGTAAAGCACTTAGTGTCTGGCACAGAGCAGGCTCCCTGCGTGTGTGAGGTAGTGTGGGCTGGCCCCTGCTGCATGTATGGAACCACTGTTCTGGGGGCCCATTTGTTGTTGTTGTTTTTGGCCGTGCAGCTTGTGGGATCTTCGTTCCCTGACCAGAGGTGAAACCCAGGCCCTCGGCAGTGAGCACGGAAGTCTAACCACTGGACTGCCAGGGAATTCCCTCTGGGGGTCCATTTGGCACAAAGAAGGTTTCCATAGCTTTATGGGGGAGGAAGCCCGGTGCATTTGAGGGCAGAATGGAGAGAAGTCCAGGAGACTGAGTGTAGATGTTTCCTACTCAGAGTGTGGGCCATGGGCCAGGAGCATGAGTGTCATCTGGGAGCTTGGAAATGCAGAGTCTCAGGCCCCACCCAGGTGTACTGATTAGGACCGTACACTTGAACCACATCCCAGAGGGATCTGCAGGCACATTCCCATTTGAGAAGCCTGGGGTGGAGTGGGAGGTGGGGTGGGAGAGCATGGCTGCTGCCCTGTGTTGAGGCCTTTGCAGTGAGGGCACTAGGGAGCCATGGAAGGCTTTATGCAGGGAGAAGATATGGGCAGACTGGGATTGTCGAAGTATCCCCCGGCTGCCCGATGTGATGACCCAGGAAGAGGTGGAGGCTATCTGTGCCTGAGTAAGGGATAAGGCCTGGGCTGGTAGTGGCTGTGGGTGGGAAATGGTAGATGGGAGTGAGGAGAAATGCGAAAGATGGCTGATAGGTGGAATGAGAGCAGGAACCATGCTGGGCCTTGGGCAGACCCTGAGCCCTCCCTCTGCCTGCCCGCCTACCAGATGTTGTTCCCTGTGTTCCTGGGCCAACGGGTGCCCTCTGAGACACTGGCATCTACTCTGGCTGAGCTGGACAGATGCCTGCAGCTGCTTGAGGACAAGTTCCTGAAGGACCAGGACTTCCTGTCTGGGCCTCACATCTCAGTGGCAGACTTGGTGGCCATCACAGAGCTGATGCATGTGAGTGTCGTGGGGTGGGGGGCCAGCTGGGCATTGGGGTACCCTGGGAGAGAGCCAGTGTACCAGCTCACATTGCCCTTTCTGGCTGGGGGGCCCTGGGCGGGTCACTTCCCACTCTGAGCCTCAGCGTCCTCCTCTGTAAAAAGGGGCTTAAAAACCCCACCCTGCAGGCTTACTGAGCAGCTTCTCAGTATTTCCTGGAGGAGAACCCCCAGCCTATCACCCGTGTGGCAGAGGGAGTGAAAATCCACCCGAGGGATCCCTAAGTTGGGACATGCTGCCTTGTGCTTCTCTGGGTCTCACCCCTCCAGCCGGCTCCCTCTCCCATAGCCTGTCAGCGCCGGCTGTGACATCTTCAAAAACCGGCCTAAGCTGGCTGCGTGGCGCAAGCGCGTGGAAGCTGCGGTGGGGGAGGACCTCTTCCAGGAGGCCCATGCGGTCATCATGAAGGCTAAGGACCTTCCTCCAGCCGACACTGCCCTGAAGGAGAGGCTGAAGCCCTTGGCGCAGCTTTTGTTGCATTGAGTACCGGGTGGGCCTGCAGAGCCACCATCAACGGAGCTCTGTCCTCAGAAGAAAGAAATGGCACTGCCTCCCCTCGGCTGTGAGCGAGACACCTTCGCAGAGTCCGGTCCACAGTGCCTTCCACACACCAGTCCTGTGTTCCTTCTTCTGTCTGCCTGCCAACTTCACCCTTACCCCTTGCACGCTGACTTCCATGTGACCTCTGGAAATAGCTTTAGTAAACACAGATGTGACCCTGACCCACCGGCCCTCTCCTGTTTGAAACTTACCCTGGTGCCTCACTGCCCTGAGGCTAAAGGACAAAGGATGAGTCACTGAACTTTACATTTGAGGCCTTGCCC